GGGGCTTGACCTGTGAATTCAGTGCTCAACCTGCCGCCCGGGGAGAGACTGGGAACGCGGTGAGAATGCTCCTTCGTTGTTCTTGGACAGGTAGCGAGCAGACTGTGCGTCAGGAGGACCAAGGAAGAGTTGATGCTCTTGACGATGGGGCTGGCACAGCCTCTCGAAGGTTCCGTGACCTGCCAGGAGTGCAAGCAAGCACATCGGTCTTGGAAGAAGCACAGCCAGGCTGACAGACGGTGGACGTGTTGTCAGCAGAGACCGGGGCCCGGAGAAGGACATCCTGCCGGGTAAGGTGGAGGGACAGCGAGAAAGAGGAAGGTCCTCAAGGAGGTGCTGGACACTGTGGCCACAGCCATGGGCTCAGGCACAGGGACAGTCGTGAATGGTGCAAGTCCCCCTTGCGCCCCAGCGTGGACTGGCGCCGCAGGCTTTGGGGGGATCCCCTCTCGCCCCCCATCACACATATTTCGTCCACCACCCTCTGGGTGGGTTCAAGCGGCCAGCCTCCTGGTTAACTGGGCTGGTGCTGCCGAGTCTGTCTTGAGGCTTCAGCCTGTGTGTGCGGACAGGGGACTGTCCCGGAGTGGGGGTGTGTGTGGAAACAGCAACCTTTCTGTTCCCATCTGAGGGAAGGTGGGTCCGTCAAGCCCAGGCCGTGGGGGCAGATGCACAGCGACAGCAGGTGTCTGGACCTTATCTCAGCCACTCCCAGGAAGCCGCTGTCTCTGAAGGCTGCAACGCTGCTGTTAACCAACTCGCTGCCGTCGGTCACTGCTGACTCACAGCGACCCTGCCGGACAGGGAGCGCTCCCCCGTGGGTCTCCAAGACGGTGACCCTTGACCGGAGCAGGAGGCCTCGTCTTTCTCCCATGGAGCAGCTGGGGGCTTCGATCTGCTGACCTTGCCTTTAGCAGCCTGAAACATAGCCCACTGCACCTCCAGGGCGATGTAGGGGCTGATTTACTAATTTAAAACATGGGGAAGCCCTGTCCCCCTGGCTGTCTGAAACCAGAGGGCCCACGGGAAATTGACAACCAAAGCCTGGAGGCCCACTCTCCACCAGAGTAGCCAGCAAGATAGGAGGGTCCCGGACACCCTGGCAGTCCCTCCCCTGGGCATCACTCACTCAGGATGAGGGATGGCCTAGCTCCTGGAGCCCCCAGCTGAGGTCTGTCTGTGTCCAGGGTGTGCTGAGAAAGGGGTGGTCAGGTCCCCGGCTCCCAGGGCCTCAGCCAGGCTCAGAGTCACCATGCGCAGAGCACCTTCCTAACTGGTGGGCAGCAGATGCCCAGGTATGGGCAGATAACGTTGGCCAGGGAATAGGCCATGGTCACAAAACAAGACACTGGAACCGGACAGATGCTCACCTTCCTGTGGGCCTTGGTCTGGCCTCCCCCAGGCACTAGGAGGTGAGGAGGGGGCTTTGGCATGGGGCGAGGAGAGGAGATTGGGCCCTGAGGACCCCTTTTGGACATCTCTGCCCGGTGCCTCCAGGAGGGCCACCAGAGCAGGCCACGGGGCAAGGTTGGGAGGGAGAGCCCAGGTCAGACCTTTCCCTACTGCGTGTCTGAGTCCACTGGTTGCCCCTGACTGGGCACACAGGGCACCCACAACCTTGGCAGGTCAAGCTGTCCTGAGAGACCAGGATGCATACACACACCCATGCTGGACAGGTACGGAAGGGCTGGGCCTTTCTGCTGAAATCTGTCTTTTTCCCCTGGACCCCCTCTGGGGCCTCCTGCCCTGCCTGGCTCTGGCCAGCTGGTGGCCGCATGGTGTGTGTCCAGGGTGCAGGGCAGAGGCATTGCAGAGGGCCAGGGGCAGTGGGGCAAATTTGTGCCCCAGGATGAGAAGCCAGCCAGCCAGCCCCACTACCACCCCACCCCTGGAAACATTCCATCTGTCTTCTGAGGAAGGGGTGTCCTTGAGCAGGGAGCCAGGGACTCTGGGCCTCAGGCAGCTGGTGAGCGGATGGCCTTTTTTGCAGCCCTGTGGATCTGGGGCAGCGTCCCTGACTCTGCCTGTGACAGCCCAGCCCAGGGTGCAGGAAATGCAGGCTCTAAGTGGACACCAAGTAGCATCAAGCAGAGCATGAAGGCGCTGCAGGGTTTCAGAAATGCCCACTGGGGTGGAGGGGCAGGGACAGCACACAGACCCCAGGACCCTCTGCCATTGGTGGGAGAGGGTAGCCAGACCCAGCAGCCTGAGCCAGCCACACTGCAGCCACACTGCAGCTCAGAGGGGGTCCAACCAGTGACCTTTGTCACTCCTAGGAGGGGGTGTCTGAACCTCAGGAGGGCTGTTCAAATAATTGGCAGGTGAAGCCTTCAGTCAGTAACCAGGATGATAAACTAACAACCCAAAGCTCTGTGAACGGAGGAGGGGGCCTGGTAGAGGTGGGCCCACCCTCTGATGAGTGTCTATCCCTCCCATTGTCCCCACCCCCCACACGTGACCCTCCCCTGTACTGATGCCCCATTCAGTTATTTGCAAACAAAACCAGGTTGTAAAGTGGGGGCCCTCCCCACCCCTACACACAGTGAAAGTCAAGGAGCCCCCACACTCCCGACAGTACCTTCACACAGGCTGCCTCCCTTCCCCGTTGGGCCCCTTCAGTCCGGCCACCCCACCTTCTGAAGTCACTTCCTCCAATCAGCCCACCAGATGCCCTGCCTCTCCCCACCCCCACATGGACCCCAGCACTGTGGTGGCCCATCCCTGCATGTACTCTGGGGGTTTGAGGATCTCAGCTTGGTAGGACTGAAATCAGGCCCCAGTGCATGGGTGGGTGGGGACTCCAGGGCATGGCGCAGGCAGACCAGACTCCTCTCCTGTTCTGGGAAATGCCCCCAAGGGGGCATGAGGCCCTGACTCGGGGTAAAGCAGGACCAGACCCTCCCTGGGAGGTTCCACGGCTGGTGGCTGGGGCCATTGGGGCCCAGGAGGAGGGCTGGTGGCAAACTAGGGTCTGAGGTTCCATTTTGGGGGTCCCTTTCTGCACCAGGGCCCAACCAGGTGGGTCTCCTAGCCGTGAGTAAACCGGCTTACCCTTGTAGGCAGAGCCGGCAGAGTATGGGGGCTTCTACCCTTGCTTTACCGCGGCTCCTTCAAAGTCCACTCAGCAACACCCAGGGTCTGCCTTCCCATTCTTTCATCCTGGCTCAGCCCTCCCAGCCCCCACTCTCAGAGCCTGCACTGCACCCTCCACCATCCCACCCACCCCCTACCCCGCCGTCCAACCTTGGGGTCCCTCCCCAGCCATCCAGGGGGCAGGCTGATAGTCAAGGCTGAGTGTGGGGCCCCAGGTGTCTACCCCCAGGCCAGCGTGTGCTCCCTGGAGCATGTTCTGGGCAGGGGGGATGACCTGGGATAGGGTTCAGTCTGGGCTGGTGACCATGTGGATAAGGTATGTGGCCTTCAAGTCCAAGTCTACACCCCACGGAGAAGCATGTCCACCGGCTGCCACCCAGCTGTAACCCGACTCTGCTCACACACCGAACCCCCCCTCCCCCTGCACAGTGGGTGTAGAAGCTTTCCCAGATGTCACTGCGGAGAACCCCGCTGCCTGAGCCCTTGGGGAGGTCACTGAGACTCCCACTGCTCACAGCCTTGCAGACGTCGCTGCTGAGAACCCCCCCCCCAAATCTTTCCTTTCACCACTGTGGAGTTGGAACCCTACTAGGTGAGATGTCCCCGAGTCCCCAGGGAGTGGGCACCCCACCCCACCAGGACCCCAGTCTACAGTGGTGGCAACCCCTCCTCCTGGCATAGTGTAGGGGGAGGTGTTCACCCATTGCCACCCCTTCACTGTTCCTGGACAGCATGGACCTGAGGGTCGGCAGGTGGCTTTGAACTGCCGACGTTTTAGTTGGTGGCCCGATGCTCACCCTTCCCCCCAATAGAACCCAAACATGTTGTCAGGGAGTCCATGCTGGCTCACAGTGACCCTGTGAGAGGGCGGAACTGCCCTTGTGGGTCCCTGAGACGGTTGCTACTCATGGGAGTAGGGAGTCCTGTCTTTCTTTTGCAAGAGCTGCTGGTGGTTTCGAACTGCTGACCCTGCAGTTAGCGGCCCAACACGTAAACACTGTGCCACCAGGGCTCCGTGCTGACCCCAGTGATGTGTATCTATGGGCAGTCTTACTCCTCTCAGTCCAGCAGGGACCTCGGGTGGTGAACTGGACCACGACTTACTTCCGTACCCTGAGACAGAGGAGATGGCTGAGTCCTGGGGCAGGTGTGCCACCTGGCAAGGTCTCTCCAGAGCTCGCTGCATTTCCAGGGTGTCACCGTGCCTGCTGGGGTCCAGGTGGAGCATCCTGCTGTGGTGACCAACAGCCTTGATGGAAGACTTTTGGGAAGTGGCAGGCAGAGGCTGGGAGTGAGAGCCCACTTCCAGGGGTTCCTGGCTCCAGCAGGGTCCAGCTGGCTTGGGATGCCTTTGCCCACAACCTGGGGGCTGCCTGCCATAGCCTAAGAGCTCACGGGGGCCACTGGGCCTGCATCCAGGCAATCTCAGCTCTAGCTCCTTGGTTACGTGCCTGGTGGAGGTATCCTAGCCTGCCTTTCAGGTCACCCATGCCCATGTGGCAGCCAGAGCAGGGACTGGCCGGGAGGAGGGGAGACTCACTCCATGGGGACCAGGCTCTGGGTTCACAGGACCCTCCTGGCAGCCAGGGACACTGGGAAGTGAAGGTTGGAATGGGACAGCTGGGAGGATCATCTGGGACACAGGCTGGGGCTCAGAGGTGTGAGTGAAGGAGTCCAGTTCTCTACACTGGCTACCAGAGGGGGGTTCCAGTCTCCCACTTTTCAGAGATTTGTACCCTGAGAATGAGGGGGTGCATGGGAGGCCCTAGAGTCACACGGACTGCCCCTGGGAGTGGGGCTGGACTGGGAGGCATCCACTCCTACCCCCCAGCATCACAGCCCATGGCTCTGGGTTTTAATCCTGATCCTTGCCTTGACCCCGTTCTATCCCTCCTTCACTCACGAGCATGACCCCGACCTTCCACCTGGACACAGGTGTGTTCCCCAAGTGTCACAAGCAGGGCACCTGGGAGGATGTTCTGCCACCCTCAGGGCTCTGGTGTAGCAGGTGGTCATCACATGAGCCTGGGGGACAGCCACCTGCCCAGTTGGAAGAGCTGCTCCCAAGCACTGATCAGACAAGGGTGAGAACTGAGGGAGACTGGCCCCAGTGGGGGACCTGGAAGCCTGGCTGCCATCTGGCCTGAAGGAGGCAGGTGGAGACAGAGGAGGCTGGAGGTGGTGCTTGCAGGAGGGCCTGTGCAGGAGCTCAGGGACAGACTACTTGTAGATCAGACTTGACCCGGAGCTCCTGAGACCCCTGGAAGTGGGGAGGGGGGAGGAAGAGGTGGCTGATTTTGTGGGAGATGGGATATGATCAATCTCAGGTGGACAGTCACCCTGGACACATCCCTGAGAACAGAGGGGCAGGTGAGTGGGCAGCTGAAGGGTCCTAGGCCCTGGGGCTAGGGCAGGCACCCACAGGCCACCATCCCACACAGTGGAGGCCCACACCCCCAGATCACATTCACCCCAGGTCCCCAGATGAGTCCTTCTTGGGAGAGGCGTCTTGTTTCTGCTTCTTGCTGGCTGAAACGACGGGGCTGTTTGTTCCCCACTCCAGCCTTCCACCCCCAAACCACCCAGCTCTCTGCTTTGAAAAATACAAACCCCCAAACCGTTTTGTCCTTAATGAAAAAAGAGGAAATAGCAAGAAGAGGAAACAAATCTCCAGAGGCCCGGAGGATTTACACACACACACACACACACACACACACACACACACACACACACACACATCTAAACACCCCATACAGTTTAATTAAATTATTGTAATGCCAACATTCAAATGCTCCCTGCCTCTACTGGAATTTGGGAATCTCCTGGCCCTGGCTCCTGAAGGGGAAGTGTTTTACACTCTCCCTCCGTATCCAGTTACTGCCTGCCCTACAAGGAGCCCTGGTGGCCAACTTGGTTATGCATCAGGCTGCTAATCACAAGGTCCAAGGTTTGAAACCGCGAGCTACTTCAAGGGAGACAGATGGGATTTTCCAGAGTTCCAGTCTCGGAAACCCACAGGGGTAGTTTTCCCCTGTCGTGTAGGGCACTAGGAGTGGTGAATTTGGTTCTAGCCTGCTCTTCGTCTCCTCTCACTTCCCCATCGACTGGCCCTCAGCATCTCCAGGATGAGAGAGGCCCTGGGCTCTGCGAGCAGCAGCCCCAGAGGTCAGAGTGAGGTGAGGACGACACCAGCGGGGCCTCAGATCTGTCCAAGGGCAGAAGTTGAGGGAGAGCCGCTTCCCAGGTCTGCCTGGTCCTCACAGTCTCCTGAGGAACTCGGAGCCTGTGGGCATCAAGTCAGGGATTTGGTCTTTGAAACAGTCTCTCTTGAGACTCATTGGGTCTGGTGGACTCCTTCCTGGAGGGTCGAGTATGACAGCAGCCAGTGGCAGACACGGTCAGTTTCAGTTTCAGACCCTGGACACTTCCTCCCTGGGATTCAGGGCCCTGTGGGAAGCTCAGCTGTCCCCTCCTCTCCCTCCTTCCCCTCAGGGTACTCCAACTTGATCCAGTTCCACCCTGCTGGCCACAGGGCCTTGGCATGCTCCCAGTGGCACCTTTTTGGTACCTCACACTGCTTGTGATGCTTCTCCTCCTATGCCAGGCTGGCCTGCCTGTGGCCTGCTCTCCCGGATTCTACTCGGGGCCTGACACATGTGGATCTCCCACTGCCCAACTCATATGTATCCAGTAAATTACTGACCGCCCTGGCCAGAGCTCTAAGTGGGGAAGGGGACAGGATCAGGGGCTGCAGAGAGCCCCTGCTCAGGGCAGGACACCGCTGAGGCTCTGAGCCAGCCCCTTGGGGAATAGGCCCTGGGCTCTCCCAGCCCCAGCTGCTCTGACTGAAGTCCACCTTGCTTTCTGAGGGCTTTAAGTCCCAGCCAGGGCCCCTACCTCCACACAGCAGCCTTCGAACAGTGTCAACATATTGTTTTTCCCAAAAAACTCACCTCTAAGAGTGGTGGGGATCCCCCACACCCACTTTACCCCTTCTCTCTGGCCCCGTGTCCCTCCCAGGCAAGGACTAAGGCACAGCATTCTTATCAGGGGCCCTGTTTCCGCCCCTCCGATCAGAAAAAAGAAAGACCAGCTGCCAGCTAGTGTACTGGGCTCGGTGCTCCCGCGTGTCCAAACAGGACAGGGCCCCTCTGTGTTTTCAGTGGCTGACTGTCCCAAAATAGACTGCCAAGCCTTTCTTCTGAGGGACCTCCTCTGAGTGCACCCCAAGCTGTTGACTTTCAGTTAGCTGTGAAGTGTGTTCACTGG